ATAGATTCTGATATGTTGTGTCTGTATTTTCATTTATCTCTAAGAATTTTTTATTTCCTCTTTTATGTCTTCTGTAACCCATTGATCATTCAGTAACACTGTTCATTTTCCAAGTGATGTAGGATTTTTCCTTCCTTCTTTTATCTTTGATTTCCAGTTTCATTCCATTATGATCAGATAAGATGCATGGTATTATCCCCTCACCTTTGATTTTCTAAGGGTTGCCCTATGGCATAATATATGGTCTAATTTTGAGAAGGATCCATGTGCTGCTGAGAAAAAAGTATATCCGCTTGATGATGGTTGGTATATTCTATATATGTCAGTTAAGTCTAGGTTATTAATTGTGTTATTGAGTTCTATAGTGTCTTTATTCAACTTTTGTTTGGAAGATCTGAACAATGGTGAGAGAGGTGTGTGGAAGTCACCCATAATTATTGTGTTGTGGTCTATTTGACTATTGAACTTGAGGAGAGTTTACTTTATGAACATTGCAGCACCATTATTTGGTGCATAAATATTGATAATTGTTATGTATTGTTGGTGAATGGTTCCCTGTAACAGTATATAATGTCCTTCCTTATCCCTTTTGATTAACTTAGTCTTGAAGTCGATTTTATTTGATATGAGGATGGCCACCCCTGCTTGCTTCCGAGGACCGAGTGCGTGGTATGATTTTTCCCAACCTTTCACCTTCAGTCTGTTTATGTCTTTTCCAATCAGATGTGTCTCCTGAAGGCAGCATATTGTTGGATCTGTTTTTTTAATCCAGGTTACCAGCCTATGTTGCTTTATTGGTGAGTTTAAGCCATTAACGTTTAGGGGTACTATTGATTATGGTTTGTACTTGCACTCATGTTTGATTATTTATCTATTTTTTTTATTTGGTTTGTTTCTCCATGATTAGCTTTTTTTTTCTTCACTCTTGCTTTACTGAGGTACTTCCCACTGTTGGTTTTGGTTGTTGTTTTTCATTTCTTCCTTGTGTAGTGTTTTGCCCAAGATACTTTGCAGTGATGGTTTTCTGGCTGCGAATTCTTTTCACTTTTTTTTATCGTGAAAGATTTTTATTTCGTTGTCGTACCTGAAGCTTAATTTTGCTGGATACAAAATTCTTGGTTGGCATCCATTGTCTTTCAGTGTTGGAAATACGTTGTTCCAGGATCTTCTCGCTTTCAGCATCTGTGATGAAAAATCAGCCATTAACCTAATTGGTTTACCCCTGAATGTAATCTGCCTCCTTTCTCTTGTAGCTTTTAATATTCTCTCTTTGTTCTGTATATTGGTATCTTCATAACAATGTGTCTTGGAGTTGGTCTACTGTGATTCTGTATGCTTGGTGTCCTGTATGCATCTAGAATTTGTACATCCATTTCCTGTTTTATGTCTGGTAAGCTTTCTAATATTATTTCATTCAACAGATTGCTCATTCCCTTGATTGGACCTCTATACCTTCCTCTATCCCAATGACTGTTAAGTTTGGTTTTTTTATGTTATCCCATATCTCTTGGATGTTTTGCTTGTGGTTTCTTGCCAGCCTGAGTTGGCTAGACTCTTTTCAAGATGATATATTTTGTCTTCATTGTCTGACATTCTGACTTCTACTTGCTCCACTCCGCTAGTGATACTCTCGTTTGAGTTTTTAATTTGGTTTATAGTTTCCTCCATTTCTAGGATTATTGTTTGATTTTTTTTTATAATCTCTATCTCCTGGTAAAGTTTCTTATTTGCTTCCTGAATCTGTTTATGTAATTCATTTTCAATGTGTCCTTTCATTGTTTAAATTTGCTGTCTCATGACCTCTTTAAGATTCCATTCCATCTGCGTAAGGTATTCCTTGAGTTCTTTATTTGACCATTTCTCTGATGCCTCTAGGTCCTCCTGTATATTTAGGCTGTCTTGAATTGTTTGTATTCCTTTTATTCCTTGCTTTTTCATGATGCTCATGTTACTTCTGGTTCTGTTTGACTGCTGAGTTACTGTTTACTCCTATAAATTTATTTTGGTTTGGTGTATCTCCAGGGTCTCTCCTTTGTGATGGGAGACTATGACTAGAGATGATGAATTTTATTGTACTTTAAAGCAGATTCATTCATTTCATAAAATAGCGTACGGATTCTGATGGCATATAGCTATCTGCGGTTTGGTCTTAGGACTTATGTTTAGGTCAAGTGATGTGATAATATAGAGGTTGGTATATCTTGGCAACCTTGGAAGATTGCTCTACTGACAGGGGATATTAACAGGAGAATTGTCCGGAGTATTTGGGGGTAACTAGGGACTTGGTAGCACTATAGATTGCCTCAGAACATTTACCTATATACATTTAGTAAATTACACATAAACAGCGTCGTAATGCTTGGGAGGAAAGGTATTAGAAGGGGAAGGAAGAAGTCGCTAAAGAGAATGAGAGTAAATAGGTAGAATTAAAGAAAAGGGGAAAAAGGAAATTGAAAAGAAATGAAAAAATGCAGTCTTAAAGCTCAATTAACTTCTCTTCCAGTGCCCACCAGGCCAAGCTTCTCCTTTCAATACGCAGGAAACAATCCCTGTGAGGCGGCTCTTCCTCCCCCACTGGGTGGCTCTCCAATCCTTGTTGCCCAGGGCCTTTCCTGGTCTCCAGCCACTTCCCTGCTTTTCCTCCAGCCAGGCCCCACTCACGGGTGGCATTCACCACAGAACTAGCTACAGCTCCCAGGTGCCCTGTTTTCTTGAGCGACTGGGCACACTCTCTCTCTGTTTGCCATTCCCCCAGACCCCAAGGTTGTGGAGCCAGGGCTGGGGACCATCAGCTTATTTTGCCTGCTTCCCTCCGGTAGCCACGCCCCCAGGAGCTAGCACAAGAAATCTAGGTTGTCAGCGCTGGTGGGAGCAGTAGCCAGGGGTCAGACGTCCCTCCCTCGGTCTGACAATCATGCTGGGGAGGGGCCCTTGAGATTTCCCTGCTGTGTGGACAGTGGGGGCCCAGGCGTGACACACCTGCAGCCGCCGGTTTCGCTGGAGCTATCCCATCCACCGAATTCTGGTGACGTCAGTTCTCTGCCATAGTGGTGTCCAATGCGAAGGGTGGCCGTTCTCTTTGCCAGGGTGTCCGATGTGAAGGGTGGGTCCAGTCCGACTCTCCCAGGTCCCACCTCAGCTCTGGGCCCGCTGCCTATGGAGGCTTGGTTGGCATCACCTCAAAAGGTTCACAGAGGAACCAAAGAGTTGATTCTCTATTCCACTGGAGCGTCTCTGTAGCACTGAGTCCTGGCGGTTTGGCGGCTGGATGCAAACAATCAACCAGAAACTGTGCACAGGCAGCCTGAATTCACCCACTCCAAGCTCAGTGTGGGCTCTGAGGGACTCAAACTGCTTGCCCTAGATCCACTTCAGCCCAGCATTTCCAAATGATCCTGAGCAAACAGCATTCAATCAGTTTAAGACTCTCTTTGCCTGCGCAGCCGAAGAGGTCACAGAATTGATCTCTCCACACCTGTTGCCCTGTTGGTCTCTCGGAGTCTCATATATTTTTGAGAGCCAGTTTCCATAAATTGATGATAACAATTTATCATGTTTTGTTCATGATAATTCATTTGTTTTATATCTTCATCGATAGTATTTAATTTTATTTATCTAACATGATTTTATTTCACGTTTGTCTAATTTCTTAAGATGTTGATATTTTTATGATTATTGAACATTTACATACCTCCTATGTAATGTGGCTCTTCAAGCCTCTTGCCTGATTTTCTTGTGAGGTCTCTACCATTTCCTTTCTTATTCCAAAAATTTGGGTGGAAGTTAATTTTTCTACTCTGTCACTTTTCTTTGTACTCTTTAATGGTATCACTTGTTGAATAGAATTTCTATTTTAATATTGCCCAGTTTATTAACTTTTTTTTCAGTCTCAGAGATTTAACCCAGGGGGTGTTTAACCACTAAGCCACATCCTCAGCACATTTTTTTTAATTTTTATGAGACTGTCTCTTGCTAAGTTGCTTAGGGCCTTGTTGCTAAGTTGTTGCCTAAGTTGCTGACTCTGGCTTTGAACTTGCAATACTTTGCCTCAGTCATGGGTTATAGGCATGTGCACTGCATCCTGCTGTGTATAAATTTGTTGGGGGTTTTTTTTGTAATTTTGAAAAAAATCTCTCTCTCTCTCTCTCTCTCTCAAAATTGAAATTAAGGATGCCCTATCACCCTACCCTGAACTATATCCAGATCCACAGCCCTTTTTAAATTTTATTTTGCCATAGAGTCTCAATATTTGCTCAGGTTTGCGGTCCTCCTATGTTAGCTTCCCAAGTAGCTGGTATTATATGCATGCATGTCTACCCTATAAATCCCTTTCTTATAACAATTTTTGGATATTTTGATTTATTTATTGGAGATATATATATATATATATATATATATATATATATATATATGGAAAGGATACCACTTTTCTGTTTCCCTGCAACACACACTCTGTCATTTATAATGATCTAAACAGCAAGTGCCTTTTTTTAAAGGTTCTGCCTTTAGTTACATAGGACTATTTATTCATTTCTTTATGTGATGTACACTTTATAACATATGGCCACATTTGGTAAAAGGATCATCCAGTCAGAAATGGACTTCATCATGTACAATGATGGCTATAATATATAGCCTACATAGGTAGATGTAAATCATATAGCTGTCAGTACAGTCTATGGTGCTTGCAAAATGGCAAAAACACTTAACAGTGCATTTCTCAAAATAAATGCCCATAATTAATTAGGAATCATTGTCTACCTACATATGTATTACAATTATGTATACAATTAATAAATACTTTTTAATTATCAAACTTTCCAGAGCTCTTTCAATATGTCTTTTAAAAGCACAAGCATTTGACATTTCCAGCACTCTGGATATGTTCATTTTCAATATCTTTAAAATATTGTGATTTTGTTTACTCTCCTTTTTATACAATTTATCTTTTCCAAACTATTGAGATTGATAATTAGCTAATAAATTCATAGACATTTTAGTTCAACTATTTACGACTGTGTTTCTTTTTTAACCTCAGTTTTGGAGGAATTAGATCAGATAAAAACTAGAAGAGAGGAAGAAAAGAAACAAAAAGAAAGAGAAGCAGAAGAAGCACAAAAGCAACTATCCCATGGCACTCCTGTTACAATAGAGAATTTTTCAAGTTGGAAGGCCAAGTTTGATGCAGAACTTTTGGAAATTAAAAAGAAATGGATGAAAGAAGAAGAGCAAGCAGGAAAAAATAAATTAAGTGGGAAACAGCTATTTGAAACAGATCATAATCTTGACACATCTGATATCCAGTTCTTGGAGGATGCTGGAAACAATGTGGAGGTAGATGAGTCTTTGTTCCAGGAAATGAACGACTTGGAGCTGGAGGATGATGAAGATGATCCAGACTACAATCCCGCTGACCCAGGGAGTGACTCAGCAGACTAATGGACTGTCCCCATCTGCAGAGAAGTTGACTGCCACAGCATCTGTGGCTATTCTGAGAGGGTTTTGATATTCCTTTCTTTTTTTCTAAGAAAAAAAATAATTTTCAGGAGAATATTCTTCTGATCACTTTCATCACTGACTTAATAAACTAACCTTAAAGTTTCAAAATAAATAAATAAATCTGATAAACCTTTACACATGCTGATGAAGAGAAGGAGAGAGAAAACTCAAATTACTAACATCTATGATGAAAATCGAAATATCAAGATGGGCACTACAGAAAATCAGAAGATAATCAGGAATTATTTTGAAAATGTATACTCCAATTAAATATTGAAGGCATCAACAAATTTCTAGCATCAAATGATTTGCCAAAACTGAATCAGGATGATATACACAAGTTAAAGAGATCAATTTCAAGTAATGAAATAGAAGACTCCATCAGAAGTCTACCACAAGAAAAGCCAAGACCGAATGGATACACAGCTGAGTTCTACAAGACCTTCAAAGAAAAGTTAATACCAATACTCCTCAAATTATTTCATGAAATAGAAAATAGGGAGCACTTCCAAACTCATTGTATGAGGCCAATATCACCCTGATTTCAAAATCAGACAAAGACACATCAAAGAAAGAAAACTTGAGACCAATATCTCTAATAAACATAGATGCAAAAATTCTCAATAAAATTCTGGCAAATTGAATACAAAACATATAAAAAAAATAGTGCACCATGATCAATTGGGGTTCATGCTAGGGATGTAAGGTAGGTTCAATAAATGTAATTCATCACATAAATGTACTTAAAGAAAAGAATCATACGATCAGCTCAATAGATGCAGAAAGAGAATTCAAGAAAATTTAGCATCCCTTCATGTTCAAAACACCATAAAAACTAGGGTTAACAGGAATATATCTCAACATTGTAAAAGCTATCTATGCTAAGCCCCAGGCCAACATCACTCTAAATGGAGAAAAATTGAAAGCATTCCCTGTAAAAACTGGAACAAGACAGGGATGCCCTCTTTTACCACTTCTATTTAACATATTATTGAAACTCTAGCCAGCACAATCAGATAGATGAAAGAAATTAAAGAGATATGGACAGAAAAAGAAGAACTCAAATTAGCACTATTTGCCAACGATATGATTCTATACCTAGAGATACAAAAAATTCCACCAGAAAACTTCTAGAACTAATAAAGGAATCCAGCAAAGTAGCAGGATATAAATCAAAGACATTTCTGTATATCAGTGACAAATCCTCTGAAAACAAACTAGGAAAACTACCCCCATTTACAATACCCTCCAAAAAAATAAAATACTTGGGAATCCACTTAATGAAAGAGGTGAAAGACCTCTACAATGAAAATTATAGAATGCTAAAGAAAGAAATTATAGAATACCTTAGAAGATGAAAAGATCTCCCTTATTCTTGGATAGGCAGAATTAATATTATCAAAATGACTATAATATTAAAAGCACTATACAGATTTTAATGCAATTCCAATCAAAATCTCAATGATATTCCTCATAAAAGTAGAAAAAGCAATCATGAAATTCATCTGGAAAAATAAGAGACCCAGAATAGCTAAAGCAATCCTTGGCAAGAAAAGTGAAGAAAGTAGCATCACTATACCAGACCTTAAACTATACTACAGAGCGATAGTAACAAAAACAGCATGGTATTGGCACCAAAATAGACTTGTAGATCAATGTAGAATAGAAGACACAGAGACAAACCCACATAAATACAGTTATCTCATATTAGACAAAGGACCAAAAGCATATATTGGAAAAAAAGAGAATTTCTTCAACAACTGGTGCTGGGGAAATTGGAAATCCATATGCAACAAAATGAAATTAAGCAGGGGCTTAATTCCTACCTCTCATCATGCACAAAACTCAACTCAAAGTGGATCAAGAACCTAGGAATTAAACCAGAGACCCTGCATTTATATAAGAAAAAGTAGGCCCAAATCTTCATCATGTCAGATTAGGCCCCAACTTCCTTAATGAGACTCCCAAATCATAAGAAAAAAAATCAAGAATCAATAAATAGGATGGATTCAAACTAAAAAGCTTCTTCTTGCAAAAGAAACAATCAGTGAGGTGAATAGAGAGCCTATAGAATGAGAGCAAATTTTTACCACCCACACATCAGATAGAGCACTAATCTCTAAGATATATAAAGAACTCAAAAATCTTAACACCAAAAAAAAAAAACCAAATAACCCAATCAATAAATGGGCCAAGGACATGAATAGATACTTCTCAGAAGATAATATACAATCAATCAACAAATACATGAAAAATGCTCAACATCTCAAGTAATTAGAGAAATGCAAATCAAAACTTACTCTAATATTTCATCTCACTCCAGTCAGAATGGCAGCTATTAAGAATACAAACAACAGTAAGTGTTAGCAAGGATGTGGGGAGAAAGGTACACTCATACATTGCTGATGGGACTGCAAAATGGTGCAACCAATATGGAAAGCAGTATGGAGATTCCTTTGAAAACTTGGAATGAAACCACCAATTGACCAGCAATTCCTCTCCTCACTTTATACTCAAAGGATTTAAAAACAGCATACTACAGGGACACAGCCACATCAATGTTTATAGCAGCACAATTCACAATAGCTAAATTGTGGAACTAACCTAGATGCCCTTCAGTAGATGAATGGATAAAGAAAATATCAAAAAAAAAGAAGTGTGTCACATTAGATTTGGTAGAGAGAGGTGATGGGGGGAGGGGAGGGGAAGGGGGAATGGAAGAACAGCAGAATAAAATAGACACTGGTATTGCTGTGGGTATATATGTGATTATATGACCAATGTGATTCTGCAATCTGTACACTCAGAAAAAATGAGAAATTATACCCCATTTGATTCAAATATATGATATGTCAAGATCATTTTACTGTGTAACTAACTAAACAAATTTAACTAATGTGTAACTAATTAAAACAAATTTAAAAAGGAATACAAACAAAAAAAGAAAATATGCTACATATACACAATGGCATATTACTCAGCATTAAAAGAAAATAAAATCATGGCATTTGCAGGTAAATGGATGGAGCTGGAGAATATTATGCTAAGTGAAGTAAGCCAATCCCCAAAAAAACCCAAATGCTGAATGTTTTCTTTGATAATGGGGATGGAGGGAGCATGGAAGGAATGAAGGAACTTTAGATAGAGCAAAGGGGAGGGAGGGGAAGGGAGGGGGTGTGGGATTAGGAAAGACAGTGGAATGAGATGGACATCATTACCTTAAGTACAAAGATACAAATGGTGTGACTCTACTTTGTGTACAACCAGAGACATGGAAAAGTGTTCTCTATATGTGTACTATGAATTGAAATGCATTCTGCTATCATATATAACAAATTAGAATAAATATTTTTTAAAAAAAGAAAATATGTTATATATACAAAATGGACTTTTACTCAGTCCTAAAGAAGAATAGAATTATGGTATTTTCCAGTAAGTGGGTGAAACTGGAGAACATCATTAATTGAAATAAATCAGACTCAGAAAATCAAGCATCAAATGTTTTCTATTAATATACAGAAGCTGAGCAAAATAATATGGAAAGGGGGATTGATATCATAAATGCAAAAGAAAGATCAGTGAAATAGAAGATGAAGATCAAAAGAGGGAGAAGGAATAGGAAAGGGGAGGAAATGCAGAAAGAATTTGACAAAGTCTGCTATGTGAATGTATAAATACTACAACGAATTCCTCATTTATTTAAATCTATAAGGCACAAATCAAAAATTAAATGAATGAAAGTAAGACCAGCAGAGTAGAGGAAGAATTTTAGGTTGGGAAAGAAGGAGTATCAAGTACTAAAATGGAATAAATTAAATTCCATGCATATAAAAATTTGTCAAAATAAACCCAACTATTTGGGTATAACTATAATTCACTAATAAAAAAAAACAAGAACAGGACTTGCAGAGACAATTCTGTAAAAAAAGAAACACAAATATCCAACAAGTACGAAGAAACCATGGTTAATACTATTGATCACTAGGGAAATGCAAATCAAAACTACAATGAGATACAACTTCACACTCATTAGAATGTCTGGCACCAAAGGAAAAAATGTAAAATAACCAGTGTTGAGGATGTGAAAACATTAGAACCCTTGCATATGATCGGTGAAGATGTAAAATAGTTCAGGCACTATGGAAAACCATAGTGGCAGTTCATAAAAATATACACAGAATTCGCATAGGATCCAGCAATTCCATTCTGAGTAGAGCTCTAGAAGAACTGATATTTGAGTCATCAAACTCACTCATAGGGGCTGGGGTTGTGGCTCAGTGGTAAAGCACTTGGCTAGCACATGCAGGGCACTGGGTTTGATCCTCTGCACCATATAAAAATATATGAATAAAATAAAGATATTTTTTTAAAAGACTCATTCATAGCAGAATTATTCACAATAGCCAAAAGATAGAAGGAGCCCCAGTGTCCATGGATGGAAGAATGGATAATCAAAATGTGATACAAACATTCAATGGCCTATTTTTATGCCACAAAAAGGAAGAAATTCTATTAGAATCCACATGCTACACATGAATGAACCTTGAGGAAATCATGCTAAGTAAAATAAGCAAGCCACATAGAGGCAAATACCATGTGATTCCACTACTATGAAGTTCCTAGATTAATCAAATTCACAGATATAGTGGAACTCTGTTACCAGGAGCTCAGAGAAGAAAAATAAAAAGTCCTTGTTTGATGGGTACAGAGTTTCAGTTCTGCAAGATGAAAGAAGATCTGTGGGTAGATGGCAGTAATGGATACATAACAATGGGGAAGCACTTAATGCCACTGAACTGTGCATTTAAAATGGTTAAGGAGCTGAGGGTGATAGAACATGTGAGCAAAGCACTGGGTTGATCCCCAGCACCACAGTAAAGATAGGAAATTTTGTGTCATGTGTGTGCTACCACACTTCAAAATACACTATTTTTAAAAACTGGGATCCCTCCTTTTGCATTCCAAATTTGTCATTTTCAGTAGATCCTTCCCAATCCATGTTTCTTTTTCCTAAAAGCAAGATTAGATCACAGCTCTGTGCAAAATCACTGTGCATCTGTAACAAAGCCCAGAAATCCTATGGTTCATGCAACCAACTTCAA